CGCTCCCTTTTCTGAGTCACCTCTGATGGGCACAGTCAGCCTTAGTCAGGACCCCCTGGGCTGCGGGCTGTGCCCTCCCCCCAACACTGTTTCCCTTCCCAGTGGCAGAATGCAGCAGCCTCAGGCTCCACGCAGATCCCCGGGGGTGCACTGGGAGTGCACTGGGAGCCCCCACCTGCGGTCACACCCCTGACGTGGTTGGAACTGGCAGGGATGCTGGTGGCATAGGGGAAGGGCCCTGCCGCCCCCCCGGGGCCGCACGTGAGCACCACGTGTGCGTTTCCCCTGTGTGACTTGCGCAGAACAAGTGCTCCTGTGCATGCCTTACTGTGAGGTCTGTGTGACTTGAGTTTCAGGAATCGGTTCTGTTTTGTGGACGAACAAGCCGGATGCAGAAGACCGGGTTAATGATGTGTGCTTTGGCCGTTCACCTGATTGTGGAAATGATAAATGACTGGCCATCTGACTTGTTTGCAAATAAAAAGTGATGGAGTTGTTTCCAATGGCGGCTTTGTGTTCCTGCCTTGTCAGCCTCTGCCCCGGCCTGAGTCATCCCGAGCCTGGGAGCCGCTGGCTCCATCCAGGAGGTGGGACCCCGCTCAACAAACACGGGCTTTGTGATTGCACCGTGCCTGCAGGGACCCGCTGTTCTTTCTGAATGTGTGAGAGGTGGTCTGCCCTCGCCCTGAGTTGGCTATGTTTGCAAAGTGGGCCTGCTGCTATCAGAATTCAACTCCCGAAATCAAGCTAAGTGACATGGTCTGGCCATTTGTCACACGACCAGACTCCCACTGAAGTTGAAAACTTGTTTTAACAGCATTTGCAAAAAATCCATTTTCACTAGCCACCTCTGTGAGAGGCACGGAGCTACCATGGTGTGCAGGGTTCCTAGTGCCCTGGTCGCCAGTTGGTGTGGGTGCCCGATGGGTGGTGATGGAGCTTGAGTTGGTGTGGGATTCTGATGGGTGGTGATGGAGCTTCCGTTGGTGTGGGATTCTGATGGGTGGTGATGGAGCTTCTGTTGGTGTGGGATTCTGATGGGTGGTGATGGAGCTTGAGTTGGTGTGGGGTTCTGATGGGTGGTGATGGAGCTTCAGTTGCTGTGGGATTCTGATGGGTGGTGATGGAGCTTCAGTTGGTGTGGGGTTCTGATGGGTGGTGATGGTGCTTCAGTTGCTGTGAGATTCTGATGGGTGGTGATGGAGCTTCAGCTGGTGTCGGTTTCTGATGGGTGGTGATGGAGCTTCAGTTGCTGTGAGATTCTGATGGGTGGTGATGGAGCTTGAGTTGCTGTGGGATTCTGATGGGTGGTGATGGTGCTTCAGTTGGTGTGGGGTTCTGATGGGTGGTGATGGAGCTTGAGTTGCTGTGGGATTCTGATGGGTGGTGATGGAGCTTCAGTTGGTGTGGGGTTCTGATGGGTGGTGATGGGGCTTCAGTTGGTGTGGGGTTCTGATGGGTGGTGATGGAGCTTCAGTTGGTGTGGGATTCTGATGGGTGGTGATGGAGCTTCAGTTGGTGTGGGATTCTGATGGGTGGTGATGGAGCTTCGGTTGGTGTGGGGTTCTAATGGGTGGTGATGGAGCTTCGGTTGGTGTGGGGTTCTGATGGGTGGTGATGGAGCTTCAGTTGCTGTGGGGTTCTGATGGGTGGTGATGGGGCTTCAGTTGGTGTGAGATTCTGATGGGTGGTGATGGAGCTTGAGTTGGTGTCGGTTTCTGATGGGTGGTGATGGGGCTTCAGTTGGTGTGGGGTTCTGATGGGTGGTGATGGGGCTTCAGTTGCTGTGAGATTCTGATGGGTGGTGATGGAGCTTCAGTTGCTGGGGGATTTCTGATGGGTTGTTGTGCAGCGTCAGTTGGTGTAGGAGCCTGATGGGTGGTGACGGAGCCTTAATTCCCCATTAGCTCCCAGGCTGCCTGCAGATGCTTGGGTCCTACCAATGCAGCCCCAGCCAGGGCGCAGGTTCACAGGGCCCTGTGTCTTCTGTGTGGCCTGCACCTGCTCCACTCCTTGGTGCCCCCGGGGCTTGACTGTGTCCAGTGAGGGCGCTTCCCTGCTGCTCCTTGGCCTCCGGGGGTGGAGGACTCCGCCATGTCGGCAGTCATAGCAGAAACATCACAGCCACCGGCTGCATTTCACTGACGCAGAATTAATAGCACTCTTTACAGTCTTGTTTATAAACATGTAAAAAGTATTTTAACTGTTTTTAGCAAGAGGCAAGGAGTCAATATTCTCAGATGTGACAGACCCACTGTAGACACGTACTGTGGTCAGAAGCCTGGGCAAGCTGGGACTTCCTGTCCCTTGACAGGCTCCTGGCCCATTGTCCTGGTGTCTCTGATAAATGGGTGCTCTGAACCACATTGATAGGATGGGGTGAACACTGAAAAAGTTGGGTTGAACTCTGACTTTCAGTGTTCATTAGCCCTAATTATGGATTTTCTGACTATAAATTGCAGTTTCTACGCCTGCACTGGCAATTTATTTTTTACTTATTTGTTGCAAACTTAATAATATTCTGTTAGCTTTATCACATTCAATGAGTTAATAGTTTAAATGTTTGCAGCAACATTTATTTACTTATGCTTTCTCAGAGTGCGTTCTCTAGCTGAGACAAATGAAGGGATGTCCTCTGTAAAGAAGGGCTGATGGCAGCTAAGGGGACGTTGCGTTTCATCCATGGGGCACAGGCCTACAGGGCACAGGCCTATGGGGCACGGGTCTACGGGGCACGGGCCTACGGGGCACGGGTCTACGGGGCACAGGCCTGTGGGGCACGGGTCTGTGGGGCATGGGTCTGTGGGGCATGGGTCTGTAGCTTCCTCTCTTGACTTGGTGCTGAATGTGGCTCATGACCTTCCTGCTGAAGAGGGTCTCAACTCTATTTTGCCAAAGAAAAGGCTGAACACTGGCTTTTTTATTTTCATTTTCTATTTTTTTGAGATGGAGTCTCTGTCACCCAGGCTGGAGTGCAGTGGTGCGATCTTGGCTCACTGCAACCTCTGCCTCCTGGGTTCAAGCGATCCTCCTGCCTCAGCCTCCCAAGCAGCTGGGATTACAGGTGCCCGCCACCATACCCAGCTAATTTTTGTATTTTCAGTAGAGATGGGGTTTCACCATCACCCCAGCCCGCCCTGTGCGGCACACACGTCGCAGGAGCAGAAGCTGTGCAGCCTCCAGGGGGCTTCTCATGTCGTGGGGACCAGCCTCCAAACAGAGATGGCCTAACAGGCCCAGAGTTCTGACCCAGGGGCCCAGGGACTGTGGACAGGGACCAACCAGGCCAGAGTTACCGGCAACCTTGGCCCTCAGGAGGCCCAGAACAGGGACCCCTCACCACGCACTGCGCTCGCCACCCTGTGCCTCTGAGGGAACAGCGACCTCCTGAGCCCCAGTGTGGCGCACCCTCTTGTAGCCCTGCCCTACGATGGCCACCCCAGGGACCTGTGGTCCGGGAGGGAGCAGCAGCACATTTCCCTGGGAACTGTAGAGCCTGAAGCCTGGGCCTTAGAATTAGGTGGTGTTCAGATGGTGCCCTTGACTTTCTCAGAGAGGCATCAGCTCTGCGGCGCTGTCGGACAGATAGCAGGAAGCTCATGCTGGCGTGCTCAGGACTGAGGGCCTGTGGGGTCACGGTTCTGCCCAAAGCAGAGCAAGAGCGCATGAGTGCATGAGTCTGTGAAGTGTGTGTGTGAGCGAGTGTGTGCATGTGCATGTGTGTGCACAAGTGTGCAGGTGTGTGGGTGAGTGCCTGTGTGTGTGCTCAAGTGTGAGTGCATGAGTGTGTAACAGTGTACCTGAGTGTGAGTGTGTGCAGGTGTGTACATGAATGTAACGAGTGTGTACAAGTGGGGCCTTGGAATTAGGTGATGCCCAGGCGTCGCCCTTGTGTTGCCCACAGGCTCGCACAGACAGTGAGGGTGCAATGCAGCCCGTGCTTTCAGCTGTCTGAGGACAGGCCCTTTCCAGAATGCAGAGCTGGGGTTAGAACCCTCAGTGGCTCAGCATCTCTGTCCTGTGGGCCTGTGTGGACCGGTCACAGCCGGGCTCTCCACAGGCAGCCCTGACCTCCTTCTGCCACTCAGCCTGTGTGCCCTCTTCGGCCCACCTGGCCTTGCCCCTTCAGAATCTCCCCTGCTTTGTTCCGGCACCTGCCACCCGCAGGGCACGCAGGTGTGTCCTGTGAGACAGGCTTGTTTGCTGAGTCAGGTTTATAAAGGTCTCATTTATAGACAGTGAGATTCGCCCTGTTTGGGGCACAGTTGGTGAGTTTTGACAAAGGTGTACAGTTTTATCGCTGCCCCAGAGTTATACCAGGCCCTTTGTTGAGATTGCCAGATTTAGCAAAAGAAAAAAATACACGGAAATGACACACACGTCAATACGCACACACTGCATGCACGTATATACCGGTTCAAATGTAGAAACCAGCATGTGAAACTTAAGTTCAGATCAACAAGTCACTGCCGTGTGGCGTCCATCAAGACGGCGTGTAGCGTCCGGCCCCGTACTTTTGCCTTCTGTGGGGTAGAGAACAGAGGTCCCTGTGCTCTGCACCTGTTGGGCTGATTTGTGAGTGGGAGATACTGGCTGCTCCTGGGGCAGTGGGGCCGGGCGGGGCCAGGTGGGGCCGGGTGCAGCAGGGCGGGGCTGGGTGCAGTGGAGCTGATGCTGGGGGGCCACAGGCCCCAGGACAGAGATGCGTGTCGGCGCCAGGAGGGTGTGGTCCACTCGACGCCCGGCCCGCGGGACCTGCACCCTGCTGGAGCCAGTACCCACTGCACGGCTCAGCACATGCCTTTAGCTTGGCGGAGTTTGGGTGTTGGCAGCTTACCTGTGCTGGACGTCTTGTGCCTCAGTAACTGTGATTAAATTACAACTGGTTAACTGTTGATCTAGCTAGTTTAAAATAGCTTATTTTATTTATTGTTAAAAACCATGCTTCAGAAATATTCCTAGAACCAGTTTCTCATTTGATTTCTCTTTTTGCTCTGCAGGCACTAGGAAGCTTTTATTTTCTTCACGAATCCTTAAAAAACATCTACCAATTTGACTTTAAAGGTAAGACTGCATGCGTCTTCGGGATTCTGTCCTGGCGCCCGCCCCTCTCGGTGTCTGGCTTCCCCAGGCCCCTGCTGGCCTGTCTCTGTGAGCAGCCACTGTGGGCTGGGTGTCTTGAGCCACTGGCCAGCGGTCACTCCAGGGGTCTCCTGAACCTGTACTGGAGGCCCCTTGGCCATCCCACACGGGCTCCCTGGCGTGGCTCTGGTGGGGATGTGACTTTCCCAGAGTAAAGAGGAAGGAAGAGTTAGTATCTGTGAGAAAATGAAAAGCCTAGTGAGAGGGTTGCACATTTCAGAAACAAGAATGGGTAGAAACAGTCCTCCGTGCTGTGAGCAGTGTCCCCATATTATGGGCACATGCTGCGTATCTTCACAGAAAAGACTGGCCCTGAGACACTCCTGACATGAGCTGCCCCCTTCTGTTCATTTCTGTGTCAGGGACAGGCGAGGGAGTTATGCAGGGTGTGGCGCTTCCGTGCGTGCCCACACGGTCTGTGCGGTGTCTGTGTGATGACTTCCCATTGGATGCTCCTGTTTCCTGTGTGTGTGAGTCCTGGAGCCCTACACAGCCTCCGGAGCAGGTCACACCCATCTGAAGTGCTCTGCACATTGTAGCAACTGTGGAGAGCCACTAACAATGTCATCGGGTTCAGATGCTGTGTGTGCTCCCTCTGGAGACGGTTGCCTCTTAGGAGACTGTGCAGCACAGTCTTATCTCAGTTGCCTGAGTGGTGATTTCATGGGCGATGAGAGCAAGATTCTGGCCCGCAGATTGATGTCTCACTGCCCTGTTACCTGACGATCTTCAGATCCTTCTAAATTCTAGCATCCGAGCCCTCCTAGGAGGCCCGTGGCAGGAACAGCCACACAGAATCGCAGGAGCTGGCTGGTGGCGCTCTTTGCTCCGTTTCAGGAGACATGGCACCTGCATGCTACGTGCTCTGGCACCGAGCTGCCGCGAGAGTGGGGAGACAGGGGCACTTGGACGCCACGTGTGCCGCCAGAAGTTGGCACAAGGGGTTTGTGCATCAAGCCTCGCCAAGCTCCAGATCCTTAGAAATTCTCTGTTTTCCAGTAACCATTCGAATACGTATTTTACCACTAAGTTAAATCAGTCATGAAGTGGCTGGTGAACCTACGGTGTGTTTAAACCTGTACACGAGATACATACTTCACTCTAGCAAAACTTTCCCCGGGGCCCTCCCCACAGCAAAACTGACAAGAACAACATGAAGGGTGGGCAGCAAGCACCCACTGAAAAACACTGCCGGGAATGAAGCAGTGGCTCATCAGCAGACTAGATGTGGCTGAGGGAAGACTCAGCAAGCTGGAAGATATGTGTTAGAAACGTCACAAACTGAAAAGCAAGGAGGAGTAAGAATAGGTTTGAAAACCAGAAGAAAATGGCCAAGACCTGTGGGACAGCCTCCACAGCTGCAGCTTGTGAGGGAACCCCAGCAGGACTAGAAGGAAAGGAACAGAAGGAAGATTTAAAGTAGTAATACTTTAGAATTTTCCAAAATTTTTAACAGTCACCAAACCACAGATCCAGAAAGCTCAACGAATGCCAACACCAAGCAGGGTAAATGCCGGAAAGTCGACCCCAGGCCACATTGTATGCAAACTTCAAAAAATCAAAGAAAAAAGAAAATCTTGAAAGAATCCAGAAGATTCCTTAGAGGTGAGGTGATTCCTTACCTATGAAGGGAAAAGGATGAGAATTACACTGGACCTTTTTTCAGAAACCATGCAAGAAGGAAGAGAGTGGTATGAAATATTTGAAGCATTATAAGGAGAAAATAATCAACCTCAAATTTTATGTTCAGAAAAAATTATTCTTCAAAAGTGAGGGATAAATTAGCTTTGTCAAATAAGCAAAAATTCAAGTAATTTGTTGCCAGTAGACCTGCCTTACAAGAAATGCTAAAAGAAGTTCTTCAACAGAAGGAAATACGAGATAGGCCAGAAACTCTGCTTTACCTAAAGGGAAAAAAGCATTGGAGGGGGAGGAAGTGAAGACAAAATGAAATATCTTTTTCTTACCCTTAATTGATCTAGCAGATAACTTTTCAAAGTAATAGCCGCAGCCATGTGTTGGTTAACTGCAGCTTATGCATAAGGGGAATGAGGACATGAGGGAGGAACGGGGTGCTCTGTTACCAGAAACCTGTACTGTCGTTTTAAGGAATACTTCCTTATTTAAAAGTGGACTTGGATTAGTTGTGCATGTATATTGCAAACTCTATGGCAACCACTAAAATTTTTTTTAAAAAGAAGTATAATTGATATGTTAAGAGAAGACAGATAATGGAACCATATACAATGTCCAGTAAAAGCCAGAGAAGGCAGAAATAGAAAGGGAGACCCAAAAGATACAAAGAACAAAGGCAACAAATAGAAAACTTACAAACATGGTAGCTATTACTCCAACTGTATCCGTGATCCCTTTAAATATGAATGGTCTAAATATACCAGTTAAAGGACAGAGATTGTCCACAGGGTGGATTTTCAAAAAAATACCTATGTGTTGTCTTCTAGAGGCCCATTTAAAATATATGAACACCTAAAGATTAACAGATAAGGGATGGAGGAAAGTATACTGATCTAACATGAATCAAAAGAAGGCTGGGGGAGCTGTAGGAATTTATAGCATCAAATGCATGTATTAGAAAAGCAGAAAGATCTAAAGTCATTATCTAAGTTTGTACCTTAGGAAAGTAGAAAAAGAAAAGAAAATTAAACCAAAAGCTGAATATTTGAAAAAAATCAATAAAATGGGTAAACCTGTAGCCAGACTAAGAAAAAAAAGAAGACACAGATTACTAATATCAGAAATTATCAGAATAGGCAGAGCAGACTTCAGAGCCAGGAAAGTTTTCAGCAGTTAAGAGGGATATTACCTCATGATAAAAAGATCAGTTCTCCAGGAATAATTAACAATCCTTAATATCTAGGTGCCTAACAACTAATCAGACCTGTTCAGATCCTGTTCAGATTACTAGATAATCTGAACAGGTGTGTAACTATTAACAAAATTGAATCAGTAATTAATAACCTTCTAAAAAAGAAAGCACCAGACCCAGATGTTTTCACTAGTGAATTCTATCAAGCATTTAAGGAAGAAATTATACTGATTCTCTACAATCTCTTCCAGAAAATATAAGCAGAGGATAAACATCCTAAATCATTCTAGGAGGCCAGCATTACCCTAATACTAAAACCAGATAAAGACATTACAAAGAAGGAAAACTATGAATTGTAAACAAAAATGCTCAACAAAATTCTTAACAGTCAGTTATATGTTAAGACCAACTGAGATTTACTCCAGGTATACAGGCTGGTTCAGCATTTAAAAAATCAGTTAGTGTAATCCATCACAGCAACAGGCAAAGAAGGAGAATTACGTGATGATAGAATAGATACAGAAAAAGCATTGCACAATATCCACATCTCTCCACAATTAAAAAAAAGCTCCCAGCAAACTAGGAATAGAGGGGAACTTCCTCAACTTGACAAAGAAAAGCTGCAAACATCCTCCAATGAATTCCACACTTAATGAGAAATTAGAAGCTTTCTTATAAGGTCGGGAACAAGGCAAGGACCCCCTTCTCCTGCTTCTCTTCAACATCTTCTTGAAAATCTTAGATGAAGTAATAAGACAAGAAAAGGAAATAAAAGCCATATTGATGGGGTGATGGGAGTTAGAACTTTTTGTTCTCAGATGATGTGATTATGTCAGGAATCTCAAAGAGTCAGCAACAGCAACACACAAACCTGGTACTAATGAGCAATTGTAGCAGCCCTGCAGCATGCAAAGCTGATATCCAGAGTCAGTTGCTTTCCTATATTGCAGCAATGAACAGGTAGAATTTTAAATTAAAAACATAAATGCCATTTAAGCACAAACCAAGAGGAAGTACTTAGGAATAAATCTAATAAATTACATACAAAATCTTTATAAGGAAAACTATAAAACTCTGATGAAAGAAATCAAAGAAGATCTAGATAAATGGAGAGAAATTTTTTCTTTGTGGATAGCGCTATGGTTGGAAAGCAGGTGCCCTCCCAAATCCATCTGCTGACCCCTGTCCCCTACAGTGATGGTGTTATGATGTGGGGCCTTGGGAGGCTAATTAGAGTGTGAGTCAGAGTCCTCGTAAATGGGATAGGAGCCCTTATGAAAGAGGCCGGGAGCTCTTTTGTCCCTTCCCACACGTGAGGACATGCGAACGGCACGTCTATGAGGAGCAGGCCCTCACCAGAACCTCATCTCCTAGCACCTGACCTTGGACTTCCCACCCCCCAAAACTGTGAGAAAGACATGTATTTTGTTTACAAAGCACACAGTCTGTTTTATTGTAGCTGTCCCTGGACTAAAACAGATGGGAAAGCCCAGCACTGTCCAGGGTTCAGCCTTTCCCAAGCCAAGCTGTAGATTCAACACAGCGCCAGCAAGGTGCATCATGCCTGCTGGCACATTGACTGTAAGGGTCACGTGGAAAGCAAAATGTCCAGAATAGCCCAGAGTTTTGAAGAAGAGCAGAGTCAGAGACCACACTTCCCAACTTCAAGACTTGCTATTCCACCTTGTAGGTGAATGGGCAAGCAGACGGTGGCATGTCAGTGCCACGGAATGTTATTGGTGATAAAAAGAAATGAGCTTTAGCTGCAAGAAGACATGGAGGAACCTGACCCACATGCTGTGAATGAAAGAAGCCAACCTGGAAAGGCCACACTGTGTGGCTCCAGCTGTGACAATGGAAAGGCCACGCTGTGTGGCTCCAGCTGTGACACCGGAAAGGCCACGCTGTGTGGCTCCAGCTGTGACACCGGAAAGGCCGCGCTGTGTGGCTCCAGCTGTGACACCGGAAAGGCCGCGCTGTGTGGCTCCAGCTGTGACACCGGAAAAGGCAGAGCTGTGGAGACGGTGAAAGGATCGTGGTGGCTGTGTGGGGTAGTGTTGAGGGATGGCTGGGTGGCATGCTGAGGATTTTAGGCAGTGAGGCCACTGCAGTCATGGACATGTGACATCATCCATGTGTCGATACCTGTAGAATGTGCAGCACCATGAGCCATCCCTAAAGTGAACTTGGGCCTTCAGGTAGTCACGCCTGAACGTTCTTAGCTGTTAGGCACGTTCCACCCTCATGCTGGCTGCTGGTAATGGGGTGCTGCATGCAGGTTGGGGGAGTGGATGAGAGCTCTCTGTACTTGCTGGCTTCCTATTACAGGGAACCAGCCTGTAGATATGCAAATGGGGTTTGTCTCCCGAATGAGAAGAACCTGTGACTGCCCAGTGACGACTGTGAGGGTGGGGAAGTCTCTGGGCAAGGGCTTAGGACTAAATGTGCTTGAGCCGTCTCAGGACTTGGCTCCTTGTCTGGGGAGGAAGATCAGAGGAGATGTGCATATAGTTACGAGCAGCTCTGAGTTTAGGGAATGGCCTCTGTTTCACATTCTGTCTATGTTCCATAAGTCACTGAAACATCTCGTGCTGTCCCCTGTCAGTGAGGCACCCACATCCAGGACTGCGCACCCAGGGCCAGGCCAGACCACAGCACCCAGGGCCAGGTCAGATTGTAGCACCCAGGGCCAAGTCAGA